CTACTTATTTTTAAACTGTCTTCATTTCCAAACTCCTTTTTTATTCTCCAACCATTGGTAAAAATACTTCCCAAATCATATTTAATTTAATTTATTTTTTTATTTTTATTTTTTGTTTGTTTTTCTTTCCTTGTTCTGTGTAAGCCGCCCAGAGTCTTTCGGGATTGGGCAGCCTATAAATCTAATAAATTAAATCAAATCAAATCATATAAGTGTATTATTCATTATTATTATGTATAATATTCAGTTTGCTCTTTCTCCTCAATGGCTAATGTTAGTCTGTTCATTTCCGCACATTCTAATATTTTCCTTTTCACCTTCTCATCCATAGGGATCTCTACAGAATGGTTTTATTGGGTATATCCTATTGGCATGGTTCTGGTGGAAACCCGACTCTGAAGGTCCCCGCCATTTTCACCTAATTGAAAGTAAACGTTTTCCCTCCTTCCCCAAACCATCAGTCACATGGTCCAATCACGGTGCCATCTGGTTGCCTGGTAACTTCGCTCCTCCTCTTCCCGGCCACCTGTGGGAATGTCCTTGGTTCCCAGGGGAAACGATTTTGTTTTGGCTACAAACCCCCAGCTATCCCTCTCCCTCAAGACTGAAGCCTCAAAACGGCCTTGGTCAGGCCAGCTTCAGGGTCGACACCGGCTGCGGCTACTCACACCACAGGGATGTGTCTGCCTCGGGCGCACAGCTCCACTTCTTCCCCCGTCATAGTTACATAGGTGAACTTGCAGCTGGGCTTGTTGGGGCTGTCCGGGCTCTCCATGGGCAGGTGCTGGGAGGCGATCTCCGCACACAGGGCCTCCAGCTCGGTTTCATCGTTCAGCTAAGCCAAAATGAAACGAAAAGGGCCCTTTAATTTATTTCTCTGCTTTGCTCCTGAAGACGGACAGGCCTTTCAGTTTATGACTGTGGATTGGCTAAATGGGTCGTTAATAGCAATAGCAATAGCAGATTTTTATATACCGCTTCATAGGGCTTTCAGCCCTCTCTAAGCGGTTTACAAAGTCAGCATATCGCCCCCAACAATCCGATAGATAGATAGATAGATGATAGATAGATATAGATAGATAGATAGATAGATAGATAGATAGACAGACAGACAGAGATATAGATAGATAGATAGATGATAGATAGATAGATAGATAGATAGATAGATAGATAGATAGATAGCAATAGCAATAGCAATAGCAGTTAGACATATACCGCTTCATAGGGCTTTCA